GACAGCCCACCCGTTTGAACTAATAAAGTGCCAGGGGCCTAAGTGGTCACCTAAATATTAAAAAAAAAAAAAAAATACTTTAAAAAAAAGACTAGTACATAAAATAATTCACCTAATAAGCAAAACAAGAAATTTATTTATTAGCAAACACAAAACTTAAATCTTTATTGCAATTCTCTTCTATTTTCAGTCAACATAATAATCTACAAACAAACCATATTTGTTAATTAGATACTTAACCAAAACCGAGTACTATTTTAACTCTAAAATCAATAAATATACAAAGTATAAGCATTGAACTTATTAGTGAATATCAAATAATTAAGATTTAAAACTTATCATTACATGTAACATCTAAATATCTTGATCATTTTTGGCAATATTAACAATAAATCTGCTTGATTCTATTGATGGCAACTCAATATGCATCAGCAGTAATGCCTAGTATTAATATATTCAAAGGATTTTGACAATAATGCTGCAATGACTTATAACGCCTCAAACTTTGGGGTGGCCACACCTGGCTAATTTTCTCATTTATCAGAAAAACCTGCAAAGTGTATAAAAATTATCTGGGTAATTATTGCCATTTTCGAATTAGTACAATCAATGAATTTTGTGAATCCCACGAACCCTGCATGTTACTATTGTTAAAACAATAGTAACATGCAGGGTTTGTGGAATTCATCAAAATTCATTGATTGCACTAATTCGAAAACAGCAATAATTTGCGTCAGCCGGGATATGATGTTATGTCCTATTTGAAAATGATACAAGTTTAAAAAACAAAACCTGATACAAAACAAGTTGTTAACTTATATCAATTACCTTTTATTCCTGATAACATAAAATAGAATATACATACGAATGCAAGTGATTTTTAATTTTTTCTCCATAGAAATGATAATATCTAAAGATGGGCAAATTGCACACTTTCAGAATTGTGTACATGATTAGACAATATAATTATATTGTAACTAAAATTTCTATAAATTGTTGGTCATTCTTGCGAATGAATGTTTGTTAGCCCATAACTTACAAGTTCACGTCTTATCATTATTATTATGAGTAGTAAAGTTCTAAAGAATGTTAGAGATTTTCTAATTCATTTCGATTTTTAAAATTAATACACTTCAATAGATGATATATAGAAATAAAAGTTAATAGATAGGAGGTTAGAAAAACAATTACCAATTTAATATCGTTTTTTGTTTCCTCTCTTCTGTATTTTTCTTTGTAAGCGAATACATACCTGTATATAATGTTAAATGCCAATTCGATTTTTTGGAAATAATTCATGAAAATATTTTAAAGATAACAAGAACATACAGGTTATATTTAGTATTCAGAGTTTATCAATGCCAAGTTTAATGTTATTCTAACGCCTTAGATTAAGCTAGTTTGATGTTAAATTGGCCAAATATAAAAGCACAGAGAATAATCGATGTTAGTATCAAAAAAAAAAAAAAAAGGCTCAAACTCACACTTATAGATTAACAAAACATGTCCATGTTCAAGATAAATTAGGCCCAGGTCAAACAAATAAGCGAGCTATTTGCAAAGCTTGTGAAAGTAAAGAACAAATATTTGAAAAGGGAAAAAATGAAGGTCTTTAATTGTGGGAAGTATATCAACAATACGGGTTTATTAACAAGTGGGATTGTGTACAACGACACTGAAAACGCTATTAATACTGGTGTGAATTTTGGGTAGATAAAGATCAAGAAGTAATGACATATGAAGACCTTAATGAAAATATGGCACGTAATACTGTCAGAGCATTGCGACAAGCAAGAGAGCAAAGTAATGCACCTATATCTGTTGGTTCATCAAACTCTAGGGCTTCAAATGTATCGGAATCGATGCTTAGTGATTGTGTATCTGAAACTTCAAGCTCATCTCAAATAAATGAAATAAGAAAATTTAAATCAAAAAAAAAAATGTTACACTTGATACATATGTTGTTCAGCCATTATCAACTAACCAACAGAATAAATTTAATCATCTTCTCCTATGATTAGTGGTTCAAAATAGGCTCTCTCTTTGATTTGTTAAATGTAGCACACTCCGTAAATTTGTTGATTTTTTTAATCCGACTGTTAAAATTCCAAGTCGCAAATTGTTAAGCAGTAAAATTCTAATTGAATATGTGGAAAAATTAGAACAAAGCAAAATTTCTAAACTTTCTGAATCACAGGAGCCGATTACAATTATATTCGATAGTTGAAAAAATGTATGTTGCCAGGAAATTTTAGGTGCCGTTATTCTTTCTGCAACAAACCAGCTTCATATTTGGGGTGCTGAGAATATTAGCAATCAAAGACAGAGGGCCCCTGAAGTACTAAACATAATCAATACTTTTTGGCATGTGCTAGTAGTCAGAACCTTAATGTGGAGGCGATGGTCATGGATAGCGCTTCAGTATATACCTCCGCACAGTACGTATAAATAAAAATGAGAACAAGAAAAAAAGACTTATTAGATATATTTGTTTTTATTTTGAATCACAAAATAATGTATATATTTACTTACCAGATGCAGAAT